CCCACGTCGGGCTCCTTGCTTGGTGGGGAGCCTGGCTTCTCCCTCTCCCTCTGTCTGCTGTTTCCCCTGCTTGTACTTGCGTTCTGCCTCTCATCTCTCTCTGTGTGTGTCAAATAAATGAATAAAATCTTTTAAAAAAAAAAGAATGATTTTATGTTATGTAAATTATGTATCAATAAACCTGTTGAAAAAATTAAGTCTTCCTATTGGAAAACCATAACTAGGTAAAGGACAAAACGGTAGAAAAAAGGTAATTTATAACAGTAAAGAACATGATGAAGTATTTAGGGAAAATTAATAAACAGTATAAAGATCTCAGTTCTTCCTAAATTAATCTGTAAATTTAGTGCAATTCAAATAAAATACCAATAAGCTTTCCATGGAGTTAGAAAAGTTAATAATAGAGTTTACATGGAAAAACATTCAAAAATAGGCAGAAAAACATTGAAAATCTAAAAGGGGTGACTAGCCTTAACAAACACTAAAATGCGCTACAATATAACTGTAATAAAAGCAATGTGGTAGTGGTGCATGGATCCACAAATAGAAGAGAAAGCCCAGAAATAGACCCAAGAATATATGGAAATTTATTATATGATGAAGGTGACATTTCATTCTTTTAAAGATTTTATTTATTTGACAGAGAGACACAGTGAGAGAAGAAACACAAGCAGGGGGAGTGGGAGAGGGAGAAGCAGGCTTCCTGCTGAGCAGGGAGCCCAATGCGGGGCTTGATCCCAGGACCCTGGGATCATGACCTGAGCCGAAGGCAGACACCTAACAATTGAGCCACCCAGGTGTCCCAAAGGTGGCATTTCAAATGAAGGGAGCAAAGATGGATGTTTAAATGAATGGTGTTGGGACAACTGGGGTAGCCATGTGGGAAAAGATTTCATTAGATCCATACCTTACTTTATACATAAGAATAAACTCCAAATGGATTAGGGATTTAAATGTAAAATATAAAATCATACATGTGATAGAAGAAAAGATGTATATTTATCTTTAACCTTGAGATAGCTTCTAACCAAGACACAAAATTCAGAGATAATAAGAATGATGAATTTGACTATATTAAAAAATAAACTGCCATGGGACGCCTGGGTGGCTCAGTCGGCTAAGCATCTGCCTTCAGCTCAGGTCATGATCCCAGGGTCCTGGGATCGAGTCCCGCATTGGGCTCCCTGCTCAGCGGGAAGCCTGCTTCTCCCTCTGCCTCTGTCGCTCTCCCTGCTTGTGCTGTCTCTTTCTCTCTGACAAATAAATAAAATCTTAAAAAAAATAAAAAATAAAAAAAATAATAAACTGCCCCCTATCAAAATAACAAAAAAAAATTGAGAAACTGGGAGAAAATATTTACAACATACACTTCAGACAAAAGGCTAATACTCCTAATATATAAAAACACTTAAAAATTGAGGGATGGGGCGCCTCGGTGGCACAGTTGGTTAAGCGGCTGCCTTCGGCTCAGGTCATGATCCCAGTGTTCTGGGATCGAGCCCCCCATCAGGCTCCCTGCTCAGTGGGGAGTCTGCTTCTCCCTCTGCCCTTCACCCTGCTTGTGCTCTCTCTCACTTGCTCACTGTCTCTCAAATAAATAAATAAAATCTTTAAAAAAAAATTGAGGGACAAATGACAAAAAGCCAGATAGAAAAATGGGGGAGACACACAACCCCAATACTCATGAAATAGAGAGAATTGGCTCTTAAACATATGAAAAAAATTTTCACTCACAGAGAAAATGCAAATTGAAACAACGAGATACCATTTCTCACCTATCAGGTTTGTAAAAAATTAAAAGTATAACAGTACATTCTGTTGTTTTTATTGAAGAGTATTTCTCTTTTTAAAAAAATATTTATTTATTTGACAGAGAAAGAGATAGCATAAGCAGGGGGAGTGGCAGGCAGCGGGAGAAGCAGGCTCCCCACTGAGCAAGGAACCCAATGCGGGACTTGACTCCAGGACCCTGAACCGAAGGCAAATGTTTAATCGACTGAGCCACCCAGGTGGCCCCCAAGCCTCAAAATTCTTACCTAATTTCCATGAATTTTCCACTGTTGTATCTTGATCTTCACCCAATCCTAATCACATTGAAAGACTGGCCTTAAACCAAACTTCCAATTGTCAATAACATCCATCCTTGCATTTCCTCCTTTGAAATACTACCAATGCTCTTTATAGGTGGTGTTTTCCTTTACCACAGTAAGCAATAAGCTCAGTTCTGTCTGATATTTAGGGAGCCAGCATTCGATACTGAAAACAGATTATGTATACAAGACTGTCCAGAAAGCTGTCTTGCCAAAATATATATTATATAATATATATTTTAATATATGTTTAAATCTTAAAATATATTTATATATTTAAACTTTATATAGTAAATATATTTAAATTATATGTAAATATTTATGTATATATTTATATATTATATGATATAATATCATTATATATAGATAATCTAAATCTCATTATGCTTCTTGATCCCACTACTTATTTAGAGGATACAGAGAGGGGCGCCAGGGTGGCTCAGTCGTTAAGCGACTGCCTTCTGCTCAGGTCATGATTCCAGGGTCCTGGGATTGAGCCCCGAATCGGGCTCCCTGCTCCGCGGGATGCCTGCTTCTCCCTCTCCCACTCCCCCCTGCTTGTGTTCCCTCTCTTGCTGTCTCTCTCTCTGTCAAATAAATAAATAAAATCTTTAGAGCATACAGAGAAGTCAGAAAACAAGTTTAAGTAAATCTCAAAATGGCATCAGCAAAACAGAATGGAGGATGTTCCTTCAGCAAATAAATGGTTAAGAACAAAAGAGATGAAGAGGAAACTTAGAGATTAAAGAAGATTTTAAAAGCATATAAAGAGAAATACGTCAATCAGAGAAAGACATGTATCATATGACCTCACTGATATGAGGAATTCCTAATCTCAGGAAACAAACTGAGGGTTGCTGGAGTGGTGGGGGGGTGGAGGGATGGGGCGGCTGGGTGATAGACATTGGGGAGGGAATGTGCTACGGTGAGTGCTGTGAATTGTGCAAGACTGTTGAATCACAGACCTGTACCTCTGAAACAAATAATACGTTATATGTTAAAAAAAAAAAGAAGAAGAAGGTAGCAGGAGGGGAAGAATGAAGGGGGGGAAATCAGAGGGGGAGACGAACCATGAGAGACGATGGACTCTGAAAAACAAACAGGGTTCTAGAGGGGAGGGGGGTGGGAGGATGGGTTAGCCTGGTGATGGGTATTAAAGAGGGCACGTTCTGCATGGAGCACTGGGTGTTATACATAAACAACGAATCATGGAACACTACATCAAAAACTAATGATGTAATGTATGGTGATTAACATAACAATAAAAAATTTTTTAAAAAGCATATAAAGACATTGGAGGGAGAAAAAAGGGAAGGAACTGATTTTCATTAAAATCAGAAGAGTGGTTACACTTAGCAGGGGGAGAAGATTGTGATTGGGTGTGGACATGTGAAGGGCTTCAGGGTGGACTAGAAAGCTTTCCTCATTTGGAAAGACTGGCTGAAACGTATAAAATAAGTTTTTGCATTATTATTAAAACCTTTCTGTGACTTGAAATTATTTCAGAATAAGAAGTTAAGAAAAAAAGGTTTAATTCCTAACGTGGGTGTTTAACGCATTTAACTCATTGAGCTAGACATGTGCTTAATGCGGCTCTCTGTATTTGACTAACATTTTTTTAAAAATGATTTAAAATTAAAAATTTAAAAACAGATAACATAATTGATTCTAATACTTATTATTCCTTTTTTTTTTTTTTAAAGATTTTATTTATTTGACAGAGAGAGACACAGCGAGAGAGGGAACACAAGCAGGGGGAGTGGGAGAGGGAGAAGCAGGCTTCCCGCAGAGCAGGGAGCACGACACAGGGCTCGATCCTAGGACCTTGGGATCATGACCTGAGCCAAAGGCAGATGCTTAACGACTGAGCCACCCAGGCACCCCAATACTTATTATTCCTAATGATTCAAATCTAATAAAACCTCATATGAGCTGATTCCTCCTAACAGTTGTGGCTGCGTTACTTATTACTCTCTCCTGAGGCCTTCTATTCTGGTCTACGATGGTGCTCCTCAAACTCACAAAGCTCTCTCTGGCCCCCTTCCCTCCAGTCTCCTCATCCCTTTCTCCCTGCCCCAGCCACTCCTGAGCCTTCCAAGCTGTTCATTTAGGTTGGAACATTCTTCCCAGACAAACACATGTCCTGGGCCCTTATGTCAGGTCCCCTCTCAAATGTTACCACCTCAGAAAAGTCATCCGCAACTACCTTATCTAAAATGGCCCCATTTCTGCTTACTTTCCATCATTCCATTGCCCAATATTATTTATCTATTTAGCTGTTTACTGTTTTTTTTTTAAAAAGATTTTATTTATTTATTTGAGAGAGAGAGAATGAGAGACAGAGAGCACGAGAGGGAAGAGGGCAGAGGGAGCAGACCCCCCGCTGAGCAGGGAGCCCGACGCGGGACTTGATCCCGGGACTCCAGGATCATGACCCGAGCCGAAGGCAGTCGCCTAACCAACTGAGCCACCCAGGCGCCCTTAGCTGTTTACTGTTATCCTCACTCTAGTACAATGTAAATTCCACGAGAGCAGGGACCTTATAAGTCTTGTTCACTATCACTGCATTGATATATGTGTGTGTGTGCAAAAGGGGAGATAGAGAACAGTTGAATCCAATGTACAGATAACATATTGCACGAATGAAAAATGAGATTCCCGGTCACTGAAAATGGGTTTGAAATATCAGGAAAGAAGATGAATGGCAAATGGTGTAAAGTTGAAGTTTCTTCTACAGCTCATGTTGAGACCTTGATTTCCTCCCCACGTCACAAGCCCATGCTCTTGGCATCACCAAGTCTTGGTACCTTGGAGGGCTTTACAAATACCACAGAGATGTACTCCTTCCCCTTACCACATAGGCTGCTACCAGCCCTGATGGCTTCTCTTTGCCTTCCTTGCCCTCCTTACCTGTGTACTGTCTTTGTGTTTCTTCCCTCAAAATCATCCAGGGCTCTTTTCCTTGCTCCAATAAGTCAACCACATCTGGCTTAGAAATGGAATGTCCTGCTTAAAAGAAAAAAAAATGCCACATGGTACAGAAATAAAAACAGAACTCACAAAATCTTTAGTTTTGCTTAAATTTGTCATGAAATCAAGGTTAAATGTTAATGATACAGACTTCAGATAATAGAAGGATGAGATGATTTAAGGAACCAGGCAGGTATGATGAAATTTTATTCTAATTTAAACTCATATAGACTCTTCCTCTTAAGAGAAAATTGAACAAAGTGACTGAAAAGGTTAACAATGTTTGAGGACACTCATTGGAGCTAAGGGCGTGTGCACAAATTCTTTCTCCTCTAATGTTTACCAACCTTGTGACTTTGAGGAAACCATTTCAACACACTGCTCCCCAATGTTGGCAAGTAAAATCGGTATGATAATACTATTATTGCGTGGTTATTTGATGATTAAATTTGTATGCATGTATATATATTCCTCTCCCCCCTGCTTCCCAGGAAGAGTATCATAATTGGGACAGAATGCCAATTAAAATTATTTTATTTCCTTAAGAGGAAAACAAGAAGCATCCTCATTCACTTATAAAATATTCATTCAGTTATAAATGTCATGCTCATGAATTGTAACTTTTGACCATAAATCATATAAAATTGGTTGCAGGAAATGAAATGTGTACCCTTCAGTTTTAAATGAATATTGTTTATCCAGTCCACCACTACAGAAGTTCTAGAGCTCTTCTCACAGCTACAGCCAATCACAAATCTTCATCTAAATATTGCCCTGCAGGTGGATCAGAGGATGACCCAGCAAATCCACAGCAATATTCAGCCTGAACACAATGGGAAACAAGGCTTCTTGGACAACAGCTATATATGGAATAAATATAAGGAATTTTTGTCCAGCCCCATGGGAAGTAAGGAAGGGAGGCAATGACAGGAAGGGTGAGAGGCAGATGTGAACATCGCCAAAAGAGGAAATGACCATGGTTGGTGGCAGAGGCACTCACAAACTGACAGACCTCAAACCTCCCTCTGGGAACAAGAAAAAGAAATTCAGCTTACATCTTGAAAGACAGCTTTGAAATTCCCTGTGTTGAAAGTCAACATACCACAGAGCACATTCTAAATTTCTCGTGGCAAATGAACTTACCCAATGAGACCAAGTTTCTATAGTTCTCCAACATCACATCCCTGTACAAGTCCCTCTGAATAGGGTCCAGGTATTCCCACTCCTGCCGAGAGAAGTCTATGGCCACATCCCTGAATGTCACTAATTCCTGAAACTGCAAACCCATGTAGTATGAAATTGGAAAACATTTTCAAGATGGTAAAGACAGGAGATTACAGGAATGAATTAAAGAAAGGGAGTGATATAGTACAAATGGACTAGAAAATCAAAGCTAAATGTCTACATATTCCTGAAGAATCCTATTGCTACAGACAAGTCTTTGTAGGTTGTGGGCCATCACAAAAACTCAGACCTACTGGGGAACGGATAAGATTAAAGTTTTTTTCCTATTCAATAAAGTATAATGCACAGACATGTAGTCAGCTAGCTGCATGATGTATAAATTCTCAAAAAAAACGCCAGGTTCTAAATTATTTTTCCTTCAGAGTTAAACGAAGATGGGATTTGCCTCCCATATTGAATATAAAAATTTCTGTATTAAGTAAAAGCTTTTGAAAAAAGTTGACATTTCTATAGGCATTCAGTTCATCCTTTGTCAGAACACATCATAAACATTTTTCTTTGTTTTGACAAATAAATTCTGGATGTCACAATCCATTTTATTATAGATATCTCAGACTTAATCCATTCCTGACATTTATATACCTGGTTGGACAAAATTTCAAAGGTCTTCATCAATTCTAGAAATTAACACATTTACACTCCTTAGGACAAATTCTCATTCATTGTCATCTTTCATCAGTTACTCAAATTTTTGTTTCTAACTGTATACTGATGAAGGATGGGAGCCATAATCAAATAGATGTCACCCAAATTCATCAGATCACATTCAACCACAAAATAGATATATTTGTCTCTCAATAATTCCTTAGAAAGATGCATGACCCAAATGTTTCCAATCATTCTACAATGCTCAAGAACATGAGATACCATCATATACTAAGACTAAGACCAACTGATACCAATATCCATCTCATCTGCCTAGAAAATTCAGGTCTGTGGAGAATTTGAAAGTCTACCTGTGGTAATTAAATGGGACCAACACCTCTAACTCATCAAACCAGAGACCTATAAAGGAAACTCAAATATTTCCTTCACGGGACTTCACTCCTTTACTGCTCTATCAGAGCCTTTGACTGAAGACTAAGCATAGAAGTGGATTGAGTAAATTGGATGATAAATAAAAAACTGGATAACAAACACTCATTAGGAGGAAACTGAGCTATTTTCTATCACTTTTTTTTATTTTAGAACAAACTGTAGAGCAGATAACTGAAAGAGGCCCTCTTAAGTAGGAAGCTTTGGGTTAATTAATCAAAAAACCCACATAGACTAAAATCATAATTTGCAAGAAGACAGGAATAACCAACTTACACAGGTCATGGTTTTAGAAATATAAGACCTGATCAGTGCTCCTTGGTGTTCCTCCATTGAAAACAATTCAAATTCCAGAGAATCCAGAGCTGAGAGAAGAAAAAAAGTTTTAGTGTTCCCAATATGACTTAATTTAACAAAATCTTTTTGTTCCTCCATTCTTCTAAAATTAGCCCCCACTACTGCACACACAATTTAGGGAAAAATAGAAGAATGATCTAAGGTCTCTCCCAAGTCCCAGGACACCAGACTACACAAAGGTCGTTGTAGAATAAGTCACTTCTCGCAGTGAAGCCAGATCCAAACACAGGAGCAGGAGATCTCCTGGACAAGCTCCCATGTTGGGAAGCCTGATCTAGTCCTGAGATTGGGCTGCTCAGTCTTTCCATGAGTGGATCCACCTGCCTTCACTCCCACCTTCCAAGGCTGAAAGAGGCCTCACCATCCAAACCAGAGGTGCTTTTATGGCCTCATGGTCCATTGAAGTTGGTCAATATATGGGAAATGAACACAAAGAAGGAATTGCTTAGGCCTACATTCTGTGTTTTGAGTCCAGCCAAGCTGACTACTTACATACTAAATATTCAGGCAACAGAATATAAAGCAGCCATTAAATGCTAAAAAGGAAAATATATTTAAGGACATGGACGATATTACACCAATAGAAAAATAAGATAAAAAATAGGAGTACAACATGATTAGATCATTAAAAAAGAGACAGACATTGGGGGACAGGGAATAGGATATCAACTGATGGAAAGGTTTGGTAATTTATCCATTTTATTACATTACACAATCCTATGTTACCATCCCTTTTTTTATAGGCGTAATCTTGGTTTTCTTTTTGTTTTAAATATACTTCATCATTATTTTAACAGTGGCCATACATTAACTTAAAATATATATATATACACAAATGTATGTGTTAGAAGAAGCTATTCTCCAAAAAGTACAGACTTCATTTAATTTAAATTAAATTAAAATTTTTAAAGATTTTATTTATTTATTTGACAGAGAAAGAGCGCAATAGGCAGAGCAGTAGACAGAGTGGGAGGAAGAAGCAGGCTCTCCGCTGAGCAGAGAGCCCAATGTGGGGCTCAATCCCAGGACCCTGGGATTATGACCTGAGCCAAAGGCAGACGCTTAACCAACTGAGCCACCCAGGCGACCCGAGATTTCATTTAATTTTAAAACACCTTCTTCTTGAGCTTGGAAAAAAGCTGAGTACTCTAAAGTCTTCTTGACCCCAAGGAGGTTTTTTTCTTGACATTTAGCCACAATGTCTTCCAGACAACTGCCCGATCAACTTATCCTATTAGTCTCATTTTGCATCTAAACATCAGTTGAGGGAAGAAATTAGAAGGCAAAAGTTTACACAATTAATCCCACTTATCTCCAGAGAGATTCCATGGGCTCAGTATAACTTGTTCATACTTTACAGTAATGGCCAGAATCCAACCAATGTCACTTTCCCATGAATTCCCAAGGTAGGTCATCTAACTCTCTTTAGTGGTCTTTACTATACACTGATCTATACTTATTCTTAATCGTAGTTTATATGCCGCTGGATTATTGGCATTTAAATGTAACATCTAAAGGGGCACCCAGGTGGCTTATTAGGTTAAGCGTCTGACTCTAGACTTCAGCTCAGGTCATGATCTCCAGGTCGTGAGATTGAGCCCTGTGTCACAGGCTCTGTGCTGAGTGTGGAGCCTGCTTAAGATTCTTCCTACGCACACCTCCCCCCACTCCATTCAGTACATTTGCTCTCTTTAAAAGAAAAAGGGAGGGGGGGAAGGAAGGGCTACATATGTATAGTCATTTAATCAACTCAAATGCTAGTATCACAGGGTCAGACAATATTGTAGGCCCTTAAAATGTCTAATTTCTTTTTTTTTTTTTAAGATTTTATTTATTTATTTGACAGAGAGATAGAGAGCACAAGTAGGCAGAGCGGCAGGCAGAGGGAGAGGGAGAAGCAGACTCCCCGCTGAGCAGGGAGCCTGATGCGGGGCTCGATCCCAGGACTCTGGGGATCATGACCTGAACTGAAAGCAGACGCTTAACTGACTGAGCCACTCAGGCGCCCCAAAATGTCTAATTTCTTATATGAAAGTCCACTATTAAAAATTAAGGAAATAAAAAGAGGTATAAAAGTTATATGCATAATATTTTTCAGAGAATTTTTCTATAACAAAAAACTGAAAACATGTTAACAGTAGGCAACATGTTAAAAGAATTATGTTGGGGGCACCTGGGTGGCTCAGTCTGTTAAGCAGCAGACTCTTGATTTCCACTCAGGTCATGATCTCAGGGTCGTGAGATCGAGCCCTGCCTTGAGCCCCAGAGATGGGCTCTGCATTCAGTGGGGAGTTTCTTTGAGATTTCTCTCCCTCTCCCTCTGCATTCCCCCCCACCACCGGTGCTCTCTCTCTCAAATCAATCAATCAATCTTTAAAAAAACAGAATTATGTTGTAATACATTCTGGCATACTATGCTATTATTAATAATTATGATATTGGTTCACACAAACAAGTGAAGAAAAGATACTTGTGATGAATTACTGAGTGAGGCAGGTAGCTTTTAAAAATAATATTTGGGAGGTGGTCTCTTGCTATAATGAATACAGACTGTTGTCAGACCTTTAGGACATGAATTTCAGATTGAAACTCTGATGTTTACGAACATGCCAGTCCCTTGAAGTCTCATTGGTAAACTGGGAAAGAATATCAAATAGCATATAAAATAGTCTGAAGATTAAGTAATCTATATAAAATACTTAATAAAATAATTGCTTAAGTTATTTATTATTATTTAAAGTGGAGAAACTTCGTGGCACCTAGGTGGCTCAGTGAGTTAAGCATCTGTCTGCTTTTGGCTCAGATCATGATCCTGGAGTCCCAGGATCAAGCCCTGCTCAGCAGGGAGTCTGCTTCTCCCTCTGACCCTCCCCCTTCTTGTCTTCTCTCTCTTTCTCTAAAATAAATAAATAAAACCTTAAAAAAAATAAAGTGGAGAACCTTCCAAGTTCCTTAATTTACTGTTTTAAAAGAAACACAATTCTGCTAATTCCATTTTTCTTACAATAAAATTTAAGTTCCTTAGGCCTACATTCTTATAATGCTAATTTAAAAATGTCAAAGCCTGGCTTTAAGCATGTAATTCTCCTCAATAAACAAATATTAACAAAAAAGATTCTCCAACACTTTAGGAGAAAATATGCCCATCCCCTGCCCCAGGCAGTTCAGAAAAATCATTTCAACATCCTAGAGGAGTTCAGAGAATCTGATGATCAGGTACCAAATTAAGAATTTAGTGAGTGTCTAAATACTGTTTTTTGGAACAAGGTGGAGATTTATCTGATTATTCGTAACTTTTACTACCTATTCCATGTTTCTGTTTACATAAATCTATCATTGGAAATGTTTATACAACAGATACTTGGAATAACCCAGACATCAGATCTTTTCTATATTCTCTGAAATGACATTTAATCTAATTTTTAAAAATCGATTTTATTTTTTTTCAAAGATTTATTTATTTGAAAGAGAGAGAGAGAGAGCACGAGCAGGAGGGTCAGACGGAGAGGAAGAGGAAATCTCAAGCCGACTCTAAGCTGAGCGCAGAGCCTGATGCAGGGCTCAATCTCATGACCCTGATATCAAGAACTGAGCCAAAACTAAGAGCCACCCAGGTGCCCCTAAAAAATTGATTTTAAAATGCTATGTTGGGGTGCCTAGGTTCCTCAGTCAGTTAAGTGCCTGCCTTTGGCTCAGGTCATGATCCCAGGGTCCTGGGATCTAATCCCACATTCAGTGGGGAGTCTATTCTCCCCACTTCTCCCTCTCCCTCTGCCTGCAGCTCCCCTTGCTTGTGCTCTCTCTCTCTCTCTTATAAATAAATAAAATCTTTAGAAAAAATGCTATGTTAGCAGAAATGTTATCATTTTCTGGTAATTGATTTTAACTGACAAATCTATGTTCCTAAGAGGTGAAAATACTCAGAAAGGTTTTTCGAGTAAGGGGATTAAGGGCCTTCTCTTTACATGCATAGAGACAATAATGAAACGCGGGATTTCTTTTACAAATTAAGAGTTGGAAATTCTTTTGTCACCTTATGTGATCAAATACGGTTATTTTATATTACAGAATCAAGACCAAAAATATATGCTTACAGATAAAAACTGGAAAAATCTATATCAAAATATAATTGGTGATTAATGGCAGTGGGGGGGGCAGGGAGGAAGAGACTATGGATAATTTTATCTTTCTTGTTCATTAATTCTTTAGGTTACTAGATTTTCCTGCAATGGTCAGATATAATTCCTACCTGGAAATATGGCACCAATATTACACAAAATATTTTTTAAAGTAAAATTATAGGGAGATCTTTCCACTCATAAACTGTAAACTCTAACTCTGAATTGAAAGGACAATGTTGTTGAAATAAATTTCACCTACCATTTCTTGGACAATCCTTGAGTAATATCATCAGTATAATTCAAAAGTGGGTATGCAAGCTGGCACAGTCACTCTGGAAAACAGTATGGAGGTTCCTCAAGATGTTAAAAATAGAGCTACCCTACGACCCAGCAATTGCACTAGTAGGTATTTACCCTAAAGATACAGATGTAGTGTAAAGAAGGGCCACATCCACCCCAATGTTCATAGCAGCAATGTCCACAATAGCCAAACTGTGGAAGGAGCCAACATGCCCTTCAACAGACGAATGGATAAAGAAGATTATATATATATAATGGTCCATATAAACAATGGAATATTATTCAGCCATCAGAAAGGATGAATACCCACCATCTGCATCAACATGGATGGAACTGGAGGGGATTATGCTAAGTGAAGTAAGTCAAGCAGAGAAAGACAATTATCCTATGGTTTCACTCATATGTGGGACATAAGCAATAGCACGGAGGACCAAAGGGGAAGTGAGGGAAATCTGAAGGGGTAGAAATCAGGGAGGGAGATGAACCATGAGAGACTATGGACCCCAAGAAACAAACTGAGGGTTTCAGAGGAGAGGGTGGGGGGAGAGGGTAACAGGGTGATGGGTATTAAGGAGGGCACGTGTTGTGATCAGCACTGGATGTTATACATAAATAATGAGTCACTGAACACTACATCAAAAACTAATGATGTACTATACAGTGGCTAACTGAATATAATAAAAAAAAAGTTTCATTATCAAGATTTTTCTGTGAATGAACATAATTCAGGTAAGTGGAATTAGCAGATTGAATACATGTGTAAAAAGCAGACAGAAAACAGTTTTTATACAGTAGATTCTCAATAAATGTAGATATAGATGTCTCCTTTACACATATGTAATTAAAATACCATTTTGGATACAAACCTTGTAAAATATTTTACATAACCCTATAGTATTAAATGAGATTCATATCTAATTTTAAAGTGCTTTTGAATAATACTTCTCATATTTGTGAATATTGCTTCACATTACATTATGTATTTTTCCTTCTTATGAAGAATCTTTTAAAGATTTATTTATTTGAGAGAGAGAGCACATGTGAGTGTGTTGGGAGGAAGAGCAGAAGGAGGGGGAGAGAGAAAGAATCTCAAGCAGACTCCCCAGTGAGTGCGGAGCCTGACATGGAGCTCCATCCCACGACCCTGAGATCATGATCTGAGCTGAAACCAAGAGTCGGATGCTTAACCAAGAGCCACCCAGGCGCCCCATGAAGAATCTTTGTAAGCATAATTTCACTAGCTGCATGTTATTTTATCTCATGTATGTATGTAGTTTGTGGTGGGATTTACTCAACTATTTCTGTAATCTTGAACACTTTATACAAGATTGTATCCATTATTACCATTTTGTTTCCAAACCAACATTTCTGAGTATTTTTGGTCATAGTCACCTTTGATAATCAGTAAATACACACTTCTGAATACTGTTTCAAATGATCTATGGGCCCCTGGAAGCTCACAAGAGCAATCAAAGAACGGAAGATTAAGAACCCCTGTTTTTAACCAGTTGAGCCTGTGGATAATTTTCTTACCTTGCAAATAACCATCAATTACCTTCGTTATTTCCATTATTACTATTGGACCCTGAAGGGGAATCACCTAGAATCACAACAGTTAATATTTATTGAACAATCCTATGTTCCAGGCTCTGTTGTCATGAGCTTTACATTTTTATCCTTGTTATATCCCTATGAAATATGTACTATTATAATGTACATCTGAGCACTGTGGAACACAGAGGCTGTGTGAATACACCAAGCTCATACAGCTAGGAAGTGGCAGAGCCAAGATTCAAACCAAATATCGGATATCCGGGCCCATCCTCTTCAATATCACACCACACTGCCTCTCACAATTCACCCAATGATATACCTGAAAAAAACTCAGGCTGCCAGGCCAAAAATAACACCTGACTAGTACTACTGGTCATAACTTAGAGATCACCTGAACATATTCCTCCCCTTGTTGACACAGATCTCTATCCTCAAATACCCAGTTACAGTCCCACTTCCAAAAGCTTCACAAAGCAGATGCCTTTGTCATTTGTTGACTGTTAGGCCTCTGCAGAATATCAGAAATATGTGGTATGTAATTCCACATAAACCCACGCTGCTTTGCTTAATCACCATCTAAAATAAAGACCAACTGGGGTACCTGGTTGGCTCAGCCAGTGAAGTGTCTGCCTTCGGCTCAGGTCATGATCCCGGAGTTCTGGGATCGAGCTCTGCATCGGACTCCCTGCTCAGTGGGGAGTCTGCTTCTCCCTCTGCCCCTCACCCCACTCTTGTGCTCTCTCTCTCTCTCTCATAAATAAAAAATAAAAATAAAATAAATAAAGACCAACTGTATAATTCAAATGATTTGCCAATTGAATATATGACCATTACCTGGAGAAGACAGAGAAAATCAGAGCCACGTGAAGGATTTATCTCAATGACTTCTATCCATTAACTGGGGATGGAAGGTGTAAAGACGGTCTCTACCTAGTATACACTTCAGGCAAAGAAAATCAAATGTTCTCATGTCCAAATAAAAGTTTTGTGAACACGGAAACTCACCTGAAGTTTGATTTTCTGGCATTTACCTAAGAGAAATAAAAACTTAGACCCACCCAAAGACTTTCACAGGAATGTTCTTAGCAGCTTTAATTATAATAATGCAAACTGGAACAACCAAAATGTCAACAGGAGAAAGGATGACTACATTATGATATATCCATATAATGGAATACTATTCAACTATATTTTGGATTGAATTGATATATGCAACAACATGGATGAATCTCAAAATAATTATGCTGAATACAAGAAACAAGACAGACCATATACTGTTTGATTCTATCTGTATGCAAATCTAGAAAGGGTAAACTAATTTATGTTAACAGACAGCAGATCAGTAACTGCCTGGAAGCACAGTGGGAGGGGACGGGGGGGGTTGGGAGGGAAGGATTACCGAAGCTTTTGGGGGTGATGGATCTGTTCATTATTTGGGTTGTAGTGATGGTTTCATGGATAAATACACATTTCACAATGAATCCACTTGTACCTATGTACAGTGGTGGATGTTAACCAGACTTACTGTAGTGATCATTTCACAATGTATACAAATAAATCATTATGCTGTATACCTGAAACTAATATACAGATGTTCCTTGACTTATGATGGCGTTATATCCTAATAAACCCATCATAAGCTGAAAATCTCATAAATCAAAAATGCATTTAATACACCTAACCTACTGAACATCGCTGTTAGCTTAGCCTAACTTAATCATACTCTGGACACTTACATTAGCCTACATTTGGGCAAAATTATCTAACACAAAGCCTACATTATAATAAAGTGTTGAATATCTCATGTAATTTATTGAATACTATGCTGAAATTGAAAAACAGAATGATTGCTTTCATGCCATCATAAAGTTGAAAAATTAAGTGGGGAACCATTTGTAATGTTATACGTCAATTATATCTCAATTTAAAAAATCAAATATAGGGGGCGCCTGGGTGGCTCAGTTGGTTAAGCGACTGCCTTTGGCTCAGGTCATGATCCTGGAGTCCCTGGATCGAGTCCCGCATCGGGCTCCCTGCTCAGCAAGGAGCCTGCTTCTCCCTCTGACCCTCCCCCCTCTCATGTGCTCTCTCTCTCTCATTCTCTCTGTCTCAAATAAATAAATAAAAAATCTTAAAAAAAAAAAAATCAAATATAGGGTGCCTGGGTGGCTCAGTGTGTTAAGCATCTGACTCTGGATTTCGGCTCAGGTCATGATCTCAGGGTCCTGGGATGGAGTCCCAAGTCAGGCTCTCTGCTCAGCAGGGAGTCGCTTCTCCCTCTCTCTTTCCCTCTACCCCTCCCTACCCCCCACCCGCTTGAGCTCTCTCTTTCTCTCAAATAAATAAAATCTTAAAAGTAAAAAAAAACCAAACAGTATTATATTTTAAAAAAGAAATTCCTTACTAAAACCCATGATCCATATATTTGCAAGTTCTAAATCACATGTCTATTCAATTTTAAAAGCCTCACAAAGCATTAATCTCAATCCACACTAAGACAGAGACCATTTATTACCAGGCTTTGTCACCTGTACCTAGAAAACTCCTGTCTATGACAATGTCAGAATCTTTCCATGTTTGGCCAAATGGGATCCTCATCTCTAATTCATCAGCTATAACCCTGACATGGGAAGCTCAAATGATTTCTTTACAAGACTTTATTTTTTCATTCTTTCATCACTGCTCTTAAAGTAAGTTGGGCACATAAGAGATAATGCATATTCTAGCCAGTATATACATAAACACAGATTGGAAGAGCCTAGGTCACAGAAGGAGAACACGAGGTTATCTGCAACGATTGTTCACTGGTATAGGGAACCAATAATTGATTGGGGTGTTTCCTGGTAGTAAGTTTCCAGGATAATTAATGAAAACATTTATATCACAAGAATAAAATGAAATGTAATGAAAACATTTATTTCAACAAGAAGGGAACACCAACTTACATATGTCATGGTTTGCTATCTGCAAAAACTGATCAGTCTTCCTTGGGGTTTCTCTACTGGAGAAAAACAAGAGAATCCAGAACTGGGAAGGAAAAAGAGACCCTGTGAGAGCAAGCATGCTTTAGTGTTACTATATAAGAAATTAAATGTTTTGCTTCTCCATTCCATTTTACTTAATACCTCCCACCATACAAACACACCCAATTACAAAAGAAGGATTTTAGATAAATTGAAACTCTTCCCCTAATCCCCAGAAATGCAGATACTTCAGCAGACAGCTTTCTGACCAGTCCTCCATTTTGGGGAAGCTGTTCAGCACCTGAGACTGGGCTGCTCAGTCCTGCCCTGAACCCATTCTCCTCCCTTCATTCACAGCTTTCAGGATTGAAAAGGACCTACACCAGCCAAACCACACCTTACTTCCTGGCTTTGGGATCAGTGAGGATGAACAGGTTAGAAAGGGTGTACAGATTAGGGGCACCTGCGTGGCTCAGTCAGTTGAGTGTCAGGCTCTTGATTTCAGCTCAGGTCATGATCTCAGGGTCCTGGGATGGAGCCTCGCGGCGGGCTCCCTGCTCAGTGGGGAGTCTTGCTTGTCTCCTTCTCCCCCTGCCCCTCCCCCTACTCTCTCTCTCTCAAATGATAAGTCGTTTAAAAAAGAAAAGAAAAGAAAGGGTGTACAGGTTAGAAAAGCCATAGAATTGGTCAGGCAGGGTTCAACATTCTGATTCCAGAAAAACTGACTGCTGAATACATTACATACAAAATGTGAAGGGAAAATAATGAAGACATGGAAAATACTCCAGAAATACTGTCAGAAAAATCAGATTATGAAACCATAGCTACACCATACTATTTGTAAAATATATGCATATCTCAATATTGAAAGGCTGACAAATCATCAGGCTCCAGTAGACAGAAAAAGTCCAGAAAGCTATACATTCATACAGTGCTTTTCTTTTTCTCTTCATTTTTTTTTTCTTGGAAAGTAATAATAATTGCCTACACACAAGAGACAGGTTTCTTTACATAGACATTTGAAGAGAAGATTTCCTTTGACATAGGCATTTCATTGTACTGATGAATGAAGAAAGGTGAAGCTCACATGGCTAATCTTAGCCAAAGTGTATTTGTGTGTGTGTGTGTTCCAGAATATTGTTATGCAATCTGAGTCATAAAATCTCAAAATTTCACCAGGGATCAAGTAACTAGATACTTAGAAAACAAAGCTGATGGAAAATACCTAAAGCAACCTCAAGGTCATGCCTCAATAACCAGTTTTTAGAGATAATATCCTGTTGCATTAGACTTGACCCTAAAACTTACATATTTCTTTTCTTTTTTTTTTTAAAGATTTTATTTATTTATTTATTTGAGAGAGAGAGAATGAGAGACAGAGAGCACGAGAGGGAAGAGGGCAGAGGGAGAAGCAGACCCCCTGCTGAGCAGGGAGCCCGATGCGGGACTCGATCCCGGGACTCCAGGATCATGACCTGAGCCGAAGGCAGTCGCTTAACCAACTGAGCCACCCAGGCGCCCAAAACTTACATATTTCTTTGAGATATAATTGACATACAACATTATATTAGTTTCAGGTATAGCATGATTCGGTATTTGTATATATTGCAAAATGATCACCACAGTTTAGTTAATATCCATCATCATATATAGTTACATTTTTTTCTTGTGATGAGAACTCTGAAGATCTACTTTCTTAGCAACTTTCAAATATACAATACAGTATTATTATTATAACAGTATTATTAACTATAGTCACCATGCTGGGCATTACATACCCATGACTCATTTAAAACTAAAAGCTTCAACTTTTTGCCCACCTTCATGCATTTTACCCACCCTCCACCTCTGGCAACCACCAAACTTTTCTCTGTATCTGAGTTCAGGTTTTGTTTTTTTTTTTGAGGGGGTGGAGGATTAGATTCCTCATATAAGTGTGATCATACAGTATTGCTACTTGTCTTTCTCTAACTTATTTCATTTAGGGTAACATCCACCCATGTTGTTGCAAATGGCAAAATCTTCTTTTGAATGGCTGTATAATATTCCTCTGTATGTATGGCACATATTTTTCTTTTGATCTTGATGAGAATTTCAGTATATGAAGTTACTGATTCAATGGCCATATCTTAAATTAAAATGTATATGCATATGAACCTTTGTTATGTTTTAAGTGGAAGTTGTTTTCCAAAATGCGCAAAGTTCATTCTTTTAAAAAGTATTTACTTGGTCTTGGAGAAGTACATTAAATTTGGATTGTTTTGCTAAATTGTTCTTGTTTTCTTCAGCTACCAGTAATACAACACTCTCTGATTTTTATGTATGCTCACCACTGGATTACTGCCTAAAAGATGGGTAAAGTCTCTGAGAACAGTCTTACATATATTGATGTTGAGTTTTCTTCACAGATCTATTTCCCACCCTGTTAGTCACATCCTCCAGAAAGCTGCTGAATTATTCTATTAGTTAACCTTACATCAACATCATGAGAATAAAACAGGTAATGTAGGAGTTACCATGTGATCCAGCAACTCCACCCCTACATATATACCCAAGAATAGAAAATACACCTTCAGGGGCACCTGGGTGGCTCAGATTGTTAAGCATCTGCCTTCGGCTCAGGTCATGATCCCGGGGTCCCGGGATCGAGCCCCACGTCTGGCTCCTGACTCGGCGGGGAGCCTGCTTCTCCCTTGCCCTCTGCCTCTCCCCTGCTCATGCTCTCGCTCTCTCTCTGTATCTCTCTGTTTCAAATGAATAAATAAAATCTTTAAAAAAAAAAAAAAAGAAAAGAAAATACACCTTCACTCAAAAAAAAAAAAAATCCAAAACAACTTGTATACAAGTGTTTGTATTTATAACAGACAAAAAATGGGAAGAAACCCAAATGTCCATAAACGGATAAATAAAATGTGGTATATGCACGCAAGGGAATATTATGCAGCCACAAAAATCAGGGTTATTTTATACAAGTTACAACGTGGATGAATCTTTTTTTTTTCCTAAAGATTTTATTTATTCATTTGAGACACAGAGATAGAGAGAGAGAGAGAGCATGAGCAGTGGGAGAGGCAGAGGGAGAGGGAGAAGCAGACTCCCTGCTAAGCCAGGAGCCCGATGTGGGGCTCGATCCCAGGACCCTGGGATCATGACCTGAGCTGAAGGCAGACGCTTAACCATCTGAGCCACCCAGGCGCCCCAACAACGTGGATGAATCTTGAAGACATCATGCTAAGTGAAATAAGCTAGTCACAAAAGGACAAATATTGTATGATTCCTCTTATATGAGATTCTTAGAATAATCAAATTCATAGAGACAGAAAGTGGATGCCAGGGACTGGGGTGGAGGGTAGAAGGGGGATGACAAGTGTTTAATGGGTAGAGTTTCAGTTGGGGAAGATGAAGAAGTTCTGAAGATGACTGGTGGTGATGGTTGCAGAACAATGTGAATATACTTAATGCTAGTTAACTGTACACTTAAAAATGATTAAATGTTGGGGCACCTGGGTGGCTCAGTTGGCTAAGTGTCTGACTCTTGATTTCAGCTCAGGTCACAATCTCAGGGTTGTGAGATGAAGCCCCACATCAGGCTCCACTGGGCGTGGAGCCTGCTTAAGATTCTCTCTCCCCATTCCCCCCTCTAAAAAAAGGTTAAACTGTGAAATTTTGTTATGTATAATTTACCACGTAAAAAAACAAATGCAGTACTTACACATAATTAATAGTGGTGCATTAATAGTGGTACTGGTTATACAACCCTGTGACTATATTAAAAACTACTAAATTATATACTTTAAAAAGATATATTTTATAGTAAAGAATTATATTAATAAAAAAGGTAAAAATTTGGGGCGCCTGGGTGGCTCAGTTGGTTAAGCGACTGCCTTCAGCTCAGGTCATGATCCCAGGGTCCCGGGATCGAGTCCCGCATCGGGCTCCCTGCTCGGCAGGGAGTCTGCTTCTCCCTCTGACCCTCCTTCCTCTCATGCTCTCTGTCTCTCATTCTCTCTGTCTCAAATAAATAAATAAAATCTTAAAAAAAAAAAAAAAAGGTAAAAATTTATACCTAAATTCCTTACCATCACAGTGCTTTTTTAGGTCAGCATAATTTGACAGTAAGGTGACAGTGGTAGCTACTGTCAGAATAACATCACTCCTGGGCGCCTGGGTGGCTCAGTTGGTTAGGCGACTGCCTTCGGCTCAGGTCATGATCCTGGAGTCCCGGGATCGAGTCCCGCATCGGGCTCCCTGCTCGGCGGGGAGTCTGCTTCTCCCTCTGACCCTCCTCCCTCTCACGCTCTCTGTCTCTCATTCTCTCTGTCTCAAATAAATAAATAAAATCTTTAAAAAAAAAAAAAAAGAATAACATCACTCCCTTATAAAATCACAAGTCGCATTATCTGAATCTCCCTAGTGGCCTCTGATGCATTTATTCCCATTCAGTGTTTACCTTACTTACTAAAAGAAACATAAAAGTAACAACCATGTCATTTGAGTCTTTTTTATCAACCCAAATACTAAGATTGCATGATTAGGCATATCATAAGCACTTAGTAAGAGTCTGATTGTTTTATCCCAAATTCTACACCTAGGAATTTATATTAATTAAATATCTACACAAAAATCTACCAGTAGGTAACAGGTTAATTAATTCAGTTCTACTATATGATGGCATATAGACCATTATTAATCATGATACTGGTCCGGGCTAATAAGTATACATAACGTAGGAATGGCATCCTGTTGAATTTTTTTTTTAAGATTTTATTTATTTATTTGACAGAAAGAGAGACAGCGAGAGAGGGAACACAAGCAGGGGGAGTGGGAGAGGGAGAAGCAGGAATCCCACTGAGCAGGGAGCCCGATGTGGGGCTCGATCCCAGGGCCCTGGGATCATGACCTGGGTCGAAGGCAGACCTTAATGGCTGAGCTACCCAGGCGCCCAGGCATTCTGTTGAATTTAAGACGAAATCTGTATTCAGATTTTCTAAATGTGGAAATGTTCTTAGAGGCCCTGAGATTTGATTACCTTGGTTTTTCATCAGTAAAATCCAGAGTATGAAGTTCACCTACTAAATATTAATATTTTAGAGAAAGATAATCTATAAAAACTTAAGAGTATGCTATAATACTATATTAATGTTAGCTATTTTACTGAAGAACATTTCATGTTCTCTAATTGATTACAAAAGAAGCAATTCTAAAATCTCCTTTCTAGAGTAAAGTTGTGCTTCTCAGCTCTACTCTTATAACACGCACAAAAAAATTGAGGACCTTGGCTTGAGAATGCATTTTTTTTTTAAAGATTTTATTTATTTATTTGAGAGAGAGAGAGTGAGAGAGAGCATGAGAGGCGAGAGTGTCAGAGAGGGAAGCAGACTCCCCGCTGAGCTGGGAGCCTGACACGGGACTCGATCCCAGGACTCTGGGATCATGACCTGAGCCAAAGGCAGTCGCCCAACCAACTGAGCCACCCAGGCACCCCAAGAATGCATTTCTTCTGAATAAAATATTAAGAGTATCTAGGAAAGAAATTTGCCTTTCCCCTAACTGCAGCAGCAAAAAAAGACACTTTTTTGAATCATAATTTGCTCAATGAATCTGATCTGATCAGGTGTCTCATAAAGCGAGAACATTAATGAGAGGCTCAATACCTTTAATCTGTGAAAGAAAGAAATGTGAATAAGTAAAATTATTAGTTCTTTTCTCTTAGTACAATCCATACTTGGAAATGTTTTTTGGAAGACACCTAAAAAATCAGTTATTATTGCAAAATTTTGTAAAACCAATCTTAAATCTCTTTTTAAAAATTTAACCCTGGGGGTGCCTGGCTGGCTCAGTTGGTAGAGAATGGGACTTTTTTTTTTTTTTTTAGAGAGACAGAGGAGAGAGAAGAGAGAGCAGGAACAGGGGGAGGGGCGAAGAGAGAGAGAGAGCGAATCCCAAGCAGACTCCATGCTCAACGCAGAGCCCTACAGAGAGCTCAATCTCACGACCCTGAGATCATGACCTGAGCTGAAATCAATAGTCCGATGCTTAACTGAGCCACCCAGGGACCCCAAGCATGTAATTCTTGATCTCAGGGTTGTGAGTTTGAGCCCCATGTTGGGGATTTCTTAAAAATAAAAAAAAATCTCTAAAGAAAATCTAACTCTGAAATACCGTCTGTTTGATACTCGCTGCCCTGGTAATTAATTTAATGGTTATTTCTATTATCTAAAAGATGTAAGTATCTGGAAAGTTTTTCAAACCAGAAATTGTCACTTCTCTCTTCCACTCACATGCACATATAATAAAACTCATGGACTGGGCGCCTGGTTGGCTCAGTTGGTTAAGCCACTGCCTTTGGCTCAGGTCATGATCCCAGGGTCCTGGGATCGAGTCCCACGTTGGGCTCCCTGCTCTGCCGGGAGCCTGCTTCTCCCTCTGCCTCTGCCTGCCACTCCTCCTGCTTGTGCTCTCTCTCTCTGTCAAATAAATAAATAAAATCTTTTTTTAAAAAAATAATAAAACTCATGGACTCTTTTTGTAAACTCAGATTCTTATTTCTTTATGGTTTGACTCTTACACTTAATGTGATCATACTCTTCAAAACAAAACAATACATATATACTAAATGGAAAAAATATTAATAGCATAACTCTGGGTGATGGGAATGAGAGTAGTTTATATTTCTTTATCAGAAGTTCCTTAGGATACTGCATGTTTTACAACAAGCCTTCATTAATGCCATCACCAGAATATAAGGTATTTCAAAATATTTCAAAGACATTTCAACATATGACTAATGTTAAAATGTCACAGAGAGCAGCTCAGTCAGTTGAGCAACCGAGTCTTGATTTCAGCTCAGGTCGTGATCTCAAGTCGTGAGATCAAGCCCTGGGTAGGGCTCTGCCCTCAGTTCGGAGTCTGCTTGAGATTCTCTCTCCCTTGCCCTCTGCCCATCCCCTACCTCACTCATGCTCGTGCACGCACTCTCTCAATAAATAAATAAAATCTTTTTAAAAAATCATAGAGAAAAAACAGGAACAGGTTGTTCATTCTTGTATTTATGAAACCTGAACTCTACGCATGACATGGGCAATTATTACAAGGGAAACAAATTACACCTAGTCCTTGGATATCCTTTGGTTATATCTCCCCAACACTTTCATTACTAAGATTCTACTGAAAATGAACACAATACAGGTAAGTGGCACTTGCAGATTGCATCATAGAATGTAATAAAGGTAGAAGAGTGTTTGATAGACAATAGATGCTTGATAAATGTAGCTACACCACTACCCTTCCTCAATAAACAGTTAAAATATTTATGATGCACTCCTTGGAAAACTTCTCACAGTAATACCTTCTTAAGTGGGATTCATATTTAATTTAAAATTTTCCAGGGTATTACTGTTGATAAATATGAATATTGCTTAACATTATAGAGTGTACATTTTCTTCTTAAGTCTAACTCTATAAACATAATCTTTTTTTTTTAAAGATTTATTTTAGAGAGAAAGAGCATGTGCATGAATGGGGGAGGGCCAGAGGGAGAAGAAAAGAATCCCAAACTGACTCCCCCCTGAGTCGGGAGCTGTACTAGGGGCTCCATCTTACCACCCCCAGATAATGAGCCAAAACCAAGAGTGGGACGCTTAACCGACTGAGCCACCCAGATACCCCTGTATAAACATAATCTTATCAGCTGCATAATAGTCAACCATATGGGTTCATCATTAAACATTTCCATAACCCTGAACATTAATTTTTCACATCATCAAAAACAGGAAAATTGGGCGCCTGGGTGGCTCAGTCGGTTAAGCGACTGCCTTCGGCTCAGGTCATGATCCTGGAGTCCCGGGATCGAGTCCCGCATCGGGCTCCCTGCTCGGCAGGGAGTCTGCTTCTCCCTCTGACCCTCCTCCCTCTCATGTGCTCTCTCTCTCTCATTCTCTCTGTCTCAAGTAAATAAATAAAATCTTTAAAAAAAAAAAAAAAAAACAGGAAAATTGTCCTAGATTCTAGACCAAAAACTCTGAATCTTTTTGGTCTACAATAACAGAATACACAGGAGGATGTATTGATAACCAAATGAACATGAGAATGTTAACGAGGTTTACCTCAGTAGTACCCAACATCCACGGGGAAGAAACCAGATCACAATTAGGACATTTCTGACAAAGGAAAGCATGCCCTAAAACCAGTAATTTTATGAAAGAAAAACTAGCCCAAACACTGATTTTTTTGGATATAACAATTCTTTCCTCCTCATCAGGGTCCTTCTTTGGGGGAATGGCAGGACCAGGTAGGGAGTCATACATAGGACGCCAGGTTTTCCTTGGAGTACAGAATGATTTCGTTGTACAACATTCTCTAGGTCCACCCCTGCCCTGCTCACACACACACAAACAGACGGAAGTGGGACAGCGTGTAATCTGTGCAAGGTTTACAGCAAATTCCTGCGGTCAGATCTCTGGGAACGCCATGGTTCTGAGACACGTGGCTGCCCCTCAGAGCTCCCAAGTAAAGAATTTCCAAGGCGTTCCCAAGCTCGAACTTCGTTCTTACGACCGTTCCCCGGTGGCAGCCTCAAGTAGCTGTGAGGAGAGAAGATGAAGGAAGCAGCAGGGAACCTAGAGCCATGGGACCATGACACAACAGAGCCACAACAATCGCCGCACAGGTAAAAGACACGCAACCAAATGCACATCACACGCGCACAGCTACGCACCTGTCTCACCCTCACTCCACAAGCGTACCCACTGTAACGGGGGCACATCTCGCCGCGCGCGCGCCACCGCCCCCCCCCCACCTGTCCCTATAGACACACACCACCCTCCTCTATGGTGCTTGAACCGCAGGCCTGAGATCACGGTAACAACCGGCCGCCCCTACTACCGGCTTCCACGCTTTAAAGACTTCCTCCCCCACCCCGGATTAACTTGGTTGTCCCTCGGAGTCCAGCCTGTCCGCACCCCCCGCCGCTTACATCCTGAGATGGGTTCAACTGACCGTGCGCAGCGCGAGAACCGCGCGAAAATGGAAGGGAAGCCAAACATCCGCTGTGACCGCTGCCCTCTGGGAAATGTAGTTCGAACCTGAATGTCCGTGGCCGCGGTGGCTTGTGGGAAAAGGAGCCCGCATTCCAGAAGCCTCGCTAGAGCACGAGTTGGTCGCCGGGACGTCCCTGCACGGGCACCCCGAGAGTTGTCGCTCTGAGGAGTGCGGCACGCGAGGACTGGTAACGCTGGAGGGGAAACAGAGGGCGCGGTGCGCGCGTCCTGGTGGTCCAGATCAGGCTAGAAGGCAGGGAAGGGCAGTCCGGAAGGGCGGCAGCCGAAACCTCAGGCCTGTGGGTGCAGAGCCGCAAGGTAGGGTCACTGGTGCGGCCCCTGGACCATGGCGGGGACTCTGGTGCAGTGTTCCCTGAGGTAGCTGCAGCCTGGTGATACCATACAGGAAAGTAACTTTTGGTACTGCCAAGAATGGGCTGGTTTTCTCAAGACACCGTGTTAGCTACATTTAATAATGGTGAGTAGGAGGAAAGTAATATTAATTTAATATTTTACATTAGGATATATTCAACGCTGACTGAGTAATTAAATGTAAAAGTGATCTGGTGATACTCTTGTATATGTTTGGTAATATTGGTATAGGAATAGCTTTTCCAAGCATAATCGAAGAGAGAAATGTTATATAAATATTAAGATTTGACTGGATAATTATTTGTCAGACCCCCGATTTAGTTCTCCTTCAATATTGTGTTGGGTATTCTCGTCTTTTGCCTCTCCATACAAACTTTAGTATCATTCTGTCGATATCCACAAAATAACTAGCAAGGATTTTGTTGTTTAATGTTTTTATGATGAAAGGCTGTTGAGTTTTGTTAAATAATTTTCTGATCAATTGATATGATCGCGGGCTTTTCTTTTTTCAGCTCTAACCCTGTTTTTATACAAGAATCCTGTTGATATAGAGGAAGTGTAGGGGTGGGGAAGAATTTTAGGTCCTAGTCTCTCAGTTTGCCTGAGACCCTGAGCTGTGACCTGCACAAGTTCTTCTCAGGTCCTTTCCTCCCTCAACCAGGTAGGTGACACAGGAGGGCTAGAGGGGGCTGGGTATTTCCCTTCCTCCACATTGGTTATTCTCTGGTAAATTAGTTTCCCTTGAGGGCAGGTGGACAACAGACTATCTAAAATATTTCAAAATGGTTATTTTCCCCTCCCCCTGCTAGAAGCATGAGGAGAATTTCTTCTTATCTTTATTCTGAGAAAGTGGTGATGTTCTTAGAGGTCAAACTCAAGAAAGTGGGGGCCTGTAGGAGTTTTTAACTCTCAAGCTGGTCCCCACTCAGTTTCCAGCAGTTCATCAATTCCTACCAGTCCCTGACTCTAGCAGCTTCTCCTTCAGGTTATCTGTGATTCTCTCTCCAGTTCTCAGACCATTTGTTTGCCCTGTGACCTCAATTCTCTGAGGGCAATAAAAAGAATTATTAATTTTCAGTTTGCTTATTAGCTTTTTTTCTTGCTTTGAGGACAGTAGTGATCACTTACAAACTTTTTCCATTTTGGAGCAAAAAAGCAGAAGCCCTTCTGATTTTGTAATAGTAACTTCTTTGATGTGTAATATACATACCTAAGAGCACATATAGCCTAAGTACTGCTGGATGGATTTTCAGAAACTGAACACATCCATTTATTTAACTAGTATCCAGATCAAGAAACAGGACATTACCAGCATCCCAAAGTATGTCTTCATGCTCTCTTCTGTTTTCTTTCTCATTCTCCAAGAATGATCACTATCCAAATTTCTAAGAGCAAAGATTGATTTGGCAATCTTTTTATTATTTTATTTTATTTTATTTATTTATTTGACAGAGATAGCGAGAGCAGGAACACAAACAGGGTGAGTGGGAGAGGGAGAAGCAGGCTTCCCGCGAAGCAAGGAGCCCGATGTGGGGCTCGATCCCAGGACCCTGGGATCATGACCTGAGCCGAAGGCAGACGCTTAACAGACTGAGCCACCCAGGTGCCCTGGCAATCTTTTAATTTATATCAATGGAATTACACAGTATATATTCTTGTATCTGACTTCTCTTGCCCAACATTGTTTGTGTGATTCACCAGTTGCATGTTGTTACATGTAGTTCTAGGTTATTTATTGATGTAGGAAATGTTGGGGTTTGGAGCTGATGGCCAAGAAAGAATTCTTGAGATATCTTTGGTGTAAAAAGGTGGTTTTATTAAAGCATAGGCACCCATGGGCAGAAAGAGCTGCACTGGGGTTATGAGGAGTGACTGATTATATACTTTCAAGTTGGGAGGGGGTCAGGGATAGCATAAGTCTCTAAGGAATTTTGGAAGCAAGGTTTCCAGAACCTTGAGGAGGCTGGCTATTGTTAGGAAAAGGTCATTTATTATTGTCTAATAAAACCTTAGTCATGAGACCCTTCAGATGTATGTCAGTGAGCCATATGCTTGAGAGATGATTGCCAACATATATCTTGGGGGTAGAGATAAAGGAAGTTTCCAAAGGAATTTTTATATGTTAAATAAGATTTACTGGATCCTGAGGCACTGGACTAAGATTGCCTTTTGCCCTTAGCAAAGTGTCAACATTGAGGCAGCTGAGCACCTAGAGGTAGATCACTCTACCTGTTTCAAGGTCTTGTCAGTGGCAGTAAAAAAAAAAAAAACTTGTTTCTCCTCTGGATAAGGTTGCAAATTAGCAAACCCAGGTGGCCTAGTCACAGGGACCAACTTAAAACCCACAGTGTCTTTTTTAGCAACATTTAAAAAGTCTCTTGCCCTTAACAGACACATGAAAAGAGGCTCAACATCATTCATCATCAAGGAAATACAAATCAAAACTACAATGAGGTATCACCTGACACCAGTCAGAATGGCTAAAATCAACAACAGGTGTTGGCAAAATGTGGAGAAAGGGGAACCCTCTTACACTGTTGGTGGGAATGCAAACTGGTGCAGCCGCTCTGGAAAACAGTATGGAGATTCCTCAGAAAGTTAAAAATAGAATTACCCTATGATCCAGCAATTGCACTATTAGGTATTTACCCAAGGGATACAAAAATGCTGATTTGAAGAAATACATGCACCTGATGTTTGTAACAGCATTATCAACAATAGCCAAATTATAGAAATAGCCCACGTGTCCATCGACTGATGAATGGATAAAGAAGATGTGGCTTATATATATAGGGGCACCTGGGTGGCTCAGTCAGTTGGGTGTCTGCCTTCGGCTTGGGTTGTGATCCTGGGGACCTGGGATCGAGCCCCGCCCCGGGCTCCCTGCTTAGTGGAGAGTCTGCTTCTGCCTCTCCCTCTGCCCCTCCCCCTGCTCATGCTCTCTCTCTCTCTCAAATAAATAAAATCTTTCAAAGAAGAAAATGTGGTTTACATATGTGTGTGTGTATATAATGGAATATTATTCAGCCATAACGAATGAAGTCTTGCTGTTTGCAATGACGCGGATGGAGCTAGAGTATTATGCTAAGGGAAGTAAGTCAGTCAGAGAAAGACAAATACCATATCATTTCACTCATGTGGAATTTAAGAAACAAAACAGATGAACATGGGGGGAAAAGGAGACGCAAATCAGGAAACAGACTCTTAACTATAGAGAACAAACTGAAGGTTACTGAAGGGAAGGTGGGTGTTGGGATGAGTTAAATAGGTGATGTGTATTAAGAAGGGCACTTGTGATGAGCACTGGGTGTTGTCAGTGATGAATCACTAAATTCTACATCTGAAACATATTACACTGTATGTTAACTAACTGGAATTTAAATAAAATCTTGGGGAAAAAAAAGGTCTCCTGCCTTTTGTTTCAGGAAATTTGAGCTACTTACACTGGACTTTCTTCCCTACTATGGTAGTTATTAATGAATAAAATCTTT